TGCCCACAGAAGTTATGAGGCCCACTTCATCCATCTCCCTCACAGCTACTGAATTCTGTGCTCTGATCACAAAGGCCTTCCCTAGCCTCTGATTGTGAAGAAATTCACCTACATTTTCCCAAATGATTAGCCAGTTGTTCTAATGCCATGTGTCAGAGTCCCCCCCTTTTTTGTTCATTCTCTTTTCAGTCCCTCAGAGGCCATGTGGCTCTACACAGTCACCAGAGTGGAGCCCACAGAAGTGCCATGTTGCTTTCAGCCAGGTCTGCCAGAGAAGACCAGAAAGGTCTGTCCCCTGGATCCCACAGAGGCCTCTGTCATTTGGTAGAAGACAGGCAGTTCTGTCAGGGACAGAGAGGGCCCCACAGCTCTGAGATGCGAGGGAACAATAGCCTCCCAGTCCTGAGAGAGAAGTGGGACACGCATCCAGTGTCTTCCTTCTGAAGAAACCCCAGGGGAGAGTGTGTTCTCTATACAGAAAGAAGAAACACAGCCACGCCTGTATTTCTGAGGACACACACGCTACACACCACACACACTCACCACACACACATACTCACCGCACACATATATACACACACACACACACACATCGGACACACTGACTCCTCCAGTAGGGGGCACCCTGTCCTAAGGAGCCCTCTCCATCACAGGAATTCCAAGAACAGTCAAGCCAGTATCTCTCAAACACCCAGATTCCTTTCGAAGGAAATAAAAATATGGAGGACCCCCAAGAATATATCTCCAAGACTCCAAGTTGAGAAACCAAAGACTTGCTGTATAAAGATCTTCCAACTGCAAGTTAACACGTGTTTAAAACTGCTAAATAGATTTAAGTCAGCATTAAAATGAAAGTCTGATTTTTTAAAAATTTCCCAGAATGAAAAGATCTGGAAGAACATAGCTGCAGAGCCCCGAGGTAGGGTAGGGAGTTGAGAAAATCCGATCTGAGGCATTATTCTGCAGCAGATCTACAAGTTAATATTCTTTCCACACACATGAGTAACATAAACCCTTCTCCTATTTTTCTTCGATTTCTGCCTCTCCTTGTATATCAGGCCCGGCCTCCGGGCAACAAAAGATGATCTTCCTTCCTTTTGCCTTGTCCCTTAATCCCTGTGAGTTTTTCCAGTAAAAATACTTATGATTTTTATTGGGAAATTTAAAAAATCATTTTTATAAAATAGGCAATTTAGAAAATACAGAATTTTTGTTTAATGTAAAGCCACCTGCTCACCCCGAGAGGTAATAGCCCTTTAAGTCGTGGTGGGCTTCCTTCTTGCCTTTTTCTTTGCTTGAATGTTTTCCAGTAAATACCCAGCAAGGGCCAGTGCAGTCACACGATCCAGGCTGACCTGGCAGGGCCATCTCGCCTCCCAGAGGTTGGAGCTGTGAACAGGCTGGCCTGGGAGAGACCTTGTCCCAGTTTCCTGCAGTGTTCCCTCAGAAACACTGTCCATTCTCTTCTGGAAAAATCCCTAGGTCAGAAGCAGCTGGGGGCCCTTTGGCCACCCTCCCCTCCCTGAGAGTAGAATGGGAGAGAGGGGTGCTCAGACCCTCCCAGCCCATTTCTCTCCCCTCTGTGCTCGGTGCGGGGCCCAGCACTGGGGTTCAGGGTTGAGAAGCAGGGTCTTGGGCGGGACAGCTCCCTTTCCTGGCAGCAGCCCAGAGGGTGAGTAGGGCTGGAAGGCACAGAGGAGGAGCACATCCTTTCTGGGCCTGTCCCCACCAGGCTGTGTGACCTCTCAGACAAACAGCCCGCCACTCCAGGACCCGCGCCAGGGCTGTGCTGACACCCCCCCCGCCACTCCAGGACCCGCGCCAGGGCTGTGCTGGTGCTGGCGGTTCTCTGCTAGCTAGGAGCCCAGGACAGGGAGTGGCTTGAAGGGCTTCTCCATTATGCCCTCGCCGCTCCTCCCTGCAGAGCCACACTCGCTGCCTCTGACGTCGCTCCCGCCCTCTCCCACTCCCTCCCCACTTTCCCTCGCACAGGTCATCCTGTTTCACAGGACCTGGACTAGCACATGGACTGGGTAAGATACAAATAAGATATAAGACCCGGGTTTCCGTCTGTCGCTCCCTCATCGGAAGTGGAGACTGCACAGATACTTAGGAAGTTTGCAGGACATATTGGGGATGGTCTGACTTAAAATACAGGCTAAATGATCTACACAAAATTCATTTGCAGGTCCCACGGGTCCCTCAAGCTGCTGGGCTGTCATCTCTCAGAGAAACGGAAACACAGTGAGCCCTGTGTCATGAAGGTTAAGAGAAGAGAGAGACTGGCCTCAGATGGGAGTCCCAGAGGCAGCCTGAGCCGCCTCTCCCCCAGCAACCCCAGGGCTCCTGGGCAAGCGGGGCACCCAGTGCTTTGCTCACAGCGTTCCTGGCTGTCTCCCGAGGATTCCCAGGCGGGCCAGGCAGCACGTGCCCGTGTGGGCAGCAACAAGTCTGGAAGGACACACACTGATGCAGTGACACGGAGACTTGGGGGGTTGCAGTCAATATATACTTTTATATTAGATATTTTATCTAATATATATATATATTAATATAATACATATAATATATAACATATTTTATATTAGCTATTTTATCTAGTACATCATATTTTATATAATACTTTTATATTAGATATTTTTCAATGTTTCATAATGGTGTGCTTAATCAGAAAAAAAAAGATGCCGACATTTCCATTTTCTAAAAGTTGTTTGAGAATACAGGAAGAACGGTGGTCCGTGCAGCTGCTGCAGTCCAGGCGGGCTCTGTGGAGACCGGAGGGCATTGCTCTGAGCCAGAAAGGATTCAGAAGGATGCTTACCTCACATGCTCCAGAGGGCTGGGGGTGGGGAGTGGCACTCATGACTGTGAGGACCCGGGGTCTGAGGAATTGCTGATGGCATCCCTGGGAGTCCCACATGCCCACTGGCCCAGGCTGGACGGAGCAGGGCAGGGGCCAGTAGGGTCAAGGCCATCCCAGTCCCTGAGGTTTTCTTTTGTTCAAGGGTAGCGCTGGGCTAGGAGTGAGGGAGCCAGAGGGATGAAGATTGAGGAGGAACCTGAGCCTCACCCACCCCCAGCCCAGGCTCCAGGCCAAGCCCATGGATCTGTGACCCAGGAACGGAGCCTGGGCTCCTGTGGCTGCTTCCACTCCTCTCCCCAAGCCAGGCTGCTAGTGTCAGGACCGGGCGCCAGTAAGACAAGGGTGCTACAGGGTGGGCTGCAGGTGAGAGGAGGGAAAGATAGGCAGGAAGAGGCCACAGCACAGAGAGAGGGACAGAGACAGAGGGACACAAAGACTCAGAAACACACAATGAGGGACACAGGGAGTCACACACAGAGAGAAAGGTAGAGTTAGAGATGGAAGGAGGGACAGGATAAGAGAGAGACAGAGATAAGAGCAGGACCTACATTCCATTCACCTCCTAGGAGCAGACAGGGAGGCAGGTACAGGTCAAGGAGTGGGCAGAGAGGACAGAGCTAGAGATGAAAAAAGGGGGTCTGAGTGTCAACGTCACAGGGAACAAACATCTGCCACCCTTGCAGTCTGCTTGGCACCCTGCTGGAGGCTGCAGGGACGGGCAGGTGTGGGCGCAGGTCCCGTCCTATCCATCCCCACACCTGGGCGAGAGGAGCAGCAGGCTGGGGTGGCCTTTCCAAGGGCCAAGCGGGAGGAGAGGTTTCCACAGAGCTGAGGTCACCAGGGGCATCTTGGTGAAAGAGCTGCATCTGAGTTGCCTCTTGAAGAGCAGGTGGGAGGAAGCGGCACGGGTTCTGCAGCGGGGAGGATGCATCAGCAGACGCGTGGAGATGGGAGGACATGTCTGGGTATGGCTAGGAGGGCCTTGAACGCCAGGCTAAGGAAGCTGAGGGGGCCCTGGTCATACTTGAGCACAAGAGTGATGTAGTGGGAGCTGCGCTTTAGGGAGACCTGGGCCAGTCAGTGGCCAGAGCTGAAGGGCAGCAGAATAAAGTGGAGGAAAGGGTTGCAGGCACCCACTGAGCACCCCCTGTGCCCTCTCCCAACACCCCCTGTCTGACACTACACTCAAGCAACCCCAAACTGCCTACCCACACCTGGCTGCTTCTCACCTCCATGCCCTTGCCCAGACGGTACTCTCTGTCTGGAAGCCCTTCCATTCCACGACCCTGGCAAACACTGAAACATGGTTTAAACTCTCCTCAAGAGACTTCTCTTCTGGGAAGGCTTCAGGCAGGGTAAGGTGCCCCTGCTGGTTCCTCCCAGCATGAAAGCCAACGTGAAATCTTCCTGGGCTCAGCTGAGTCAAGTCATGGTTTTGTTTTGTTTTGTTTTGTTTTGGCGGTATGCGGGCCTCTCACTGTTGTGGCCTCTCCCGTTGCGGAGCGCGGGCTCCGGACGCGCAGGCCCAGCGGCCATGGCTCACGGGCCCAGCCGCTCCGCGGCATATGGGATCTTCCCGGACCGGGGCACGAACCCGTGTCCCCTACATCGGCAGGCGGACTCTCAACCACTCAACCACTGTGCCACCAGAGAAGCCCCAAGTCATGTTTTTAACCAAGACAAGAAAATGTAATTGGCTCCATCAGCGCCGTGGCCTTACCACACCCAGAATTTGCCTGTCCCCCCACGGGAAGCCCCAGCAGCTGTCAGGCATCAGTACCCCAATCCTGAAGAGGGGAGGGATGGAGGAACAGGGTGGGGACCATCTGCCTAGAGGTGCTTTGGCCTGGCTGGTCACAGAGCAGTGACTCATCCCCCCAGAGAGGAGGGGAGTAGCAGTGGGGGGCAGTTGGGCTGGCCAGGGGGCCTTGGTGGAGAGGGCCTCCTCTGCCCTACACTCCTTGGCTAGACCCCGCCTCCTCCTTGTCCCCTCAGGCCCTTGGAAGACAAAGAAGAACCCCCTGCAGCCCCGGGCTCACCGCCCCCCACCCCGCCCCCGCGGGGCTGGCATTGACCAGGAAGGCAGCTGAAACCTCCCAGGTGGCCACCCGCAGCTGCCCTCTACCCAGGCCCAGCCATGGATAAATTTCGAGTGCTCTTCCAGCACTTCCAGTCCAGCTCCGAGTCGGTGATAAACGGCATCTGCCTGCTGCTGGCCGCGGTCACAGTCAAGCTGTACTCCTCCTTCGATTTCAACGGCCCCTGCCTGGCGCGCTACAATGCTCTCTATGGCCTGGGCCAGCTGCTCACGCCCCCAGCCGCCCTGTTCCTCTGAAGCCTCCTGGCCAACCAGCAGTCCGTGGGGATGGTGGAGGGGAGAGGCGCCGGCCTGCGGGGCACCGAAGGAAGGACCCAGGCATCAGCAGGTGCGCTCCCTCGCCCCCCAGGTCCCCGTGGGCATTGTCAGGGGCTCTCCCAACCACACAGGCACTGCCAGGTGCCAAAATCCCAGTGACCCCCGTGGGTATTGTCAGAACTCACCCACCCCCATAGGCACCCTCATTTCCCCTAGGAAATGATACCGAGGCATCATCAGTTCACAGAGACCGATCTGCCAGTTTCCACTCTGGAAACAGATATTTCTGATCCTGTCATCTGTCACCTTTCCATGCCCAGTGCTGGAGACGCATGAATGATACAGGATTCCCAAGAATTATCCAGGTCACATCTGTCATGCTGGCCATGGATTATAACTCCCCACATGCATGAAGGACCATCCCATGACGTGCATAGCCGTGTTGCCGTACGAGAGGCATCATTGGCTTGAAGGCTGCATCCCCTCTCCTGCAAGCTCCCCGAGGGCAAGGACCTCACCTGCTGTATCACAGTGTCCTCAGAGCCTCGCGCCTGAGGTGCCCTGATCAGCTGATTGAGTTTAGTGATTCATAATGCTCCCTGGCCCACAGGGAGCCAAGCTCTGTGCCCAGTGCTGTGTGTGCACCGCCTATGAATTCTCACCTCGGCCCTGGGTTGGCCCCTGTCTTGGACACATTTTTAAGGATGGGGGACCTGAGGCACAGAGAGGGTGATTCACTAGGCTGAACTCCCACAGCGAAAAGGAGGCTCAGATTCAAACACAGCCCAAGCCAGAACTGCTGCCCTGTTTTAGACAAAATAAGTGCTCTAGATCCATGGGCAGTGGCAGGAGGGGCTTGATGGCTTTTAGCTCACTCACGATCTCCTCCTGTCCCCTATTCTTTGATATGGACAACTGAGGTGTTCTCAAGGGTATGTAATGTGACTTCATAACAAGTCCTGGGTTCCACCTTCTAACCACATTTCCCCCATGGAAAATGCTGGATCCGCCCCTGCCTGCAACATATAATTCATTGGCCATGCACACACACACACACACACACACACACACACACACACACACACACACACACACAGCCAGCACACACCATCTTATGTTTTGTATACAACCCAAGTTAAAAACATCTGCATTCTGTGCACAAGCGGCCTGTTTCATGTTCCCCAGGGGTTCCATGCTCCCTGTGATTCAGCCATGCAGGGAGGGTCACATTCACTAAGTGTGCCCTTTACCTTTTCCTCTGGGGTCTAGTTGGTACAGCTCCACTGGGCTCCTGTCCTGTGACCAACACCCAATCCAGGCCACTAGACAGGCAGAGCAGGCCAAGAGCCCACACACACACACACACACACACACACACACACACACACACACACACACACACACACAGCCAGCACACACCATCTTATGTTTTGTATACAACCCAAGTTAAAAACATCTGCATTCTGTGCACAAGCGGCCTGTTTCATGTTCCCCAGGGGTTCCATGCTCCCTGTGATTCAGCCATGCAGGGAGGGTCACATTCACTAAGTGTGCCCTTTACCTTTTCCTCTGGGGTCTAGTTGGTACAGCTCCACTGGGCTCCTGTCCTGTGACCAACACCCAATCCAGGCCACTAGACAGGCAGAGCAGGCCAAGAGCAGCACCTGGGGACAGTCAGAGGGTGGCTCCCAGACACTGCGGAGAGGTGTTTAAGGTGCTGTCTCTGGAAGGGTTATTCCACGGGACCCTCTTAGTTTAGGGTCCCCCCAAAAGCAGCCTCTGGGAAGAATGTGATAATATGTAGGCAACTCGGGCTCAGTCCTTCTGGGGACCCTCTAAGAAAGTGGGCAGAACACACCTCAGAATCGTCCCACCGAGGGTCCTGGAAGCTGGGGTTCTTATCCACCAGGCCCTGCCCTCTTGGATTGAAGTTTGATTTGGGGACATGGACCCTCCAGCGCTTCCAGCCTGCGCCTCTGGGAGCAGAAACTCCTCCAAAGTCCCAGGCAGAGCCATGCAGGGGGTTGAGGTCAGAAGCTCTCAGGCCCTCCATATGAATAGGAACTACCCACCAAAGCTCTAGATGCTTCTGGCCGGGACAGGGCACCAATAGGGTCTGCTACAAAGCTAGAGCAGGAAGAATACCAGCTCCCCCGTGTTCCAGTCCTGAGACTCCCGGGACCCTCAGCCCTGCTTCTTGCCTATCCTCTGCTGCTCGGACCTGTAGCCCTTCCTTTGGTGTAATCACACCTGGGATATCCCCCCTCCTGGGAAGTCCGTCCCTGCATCTCCGCTGTAGCCTTCCTGCTGCAGCTGAATTCCGGCTGCCCTTTGTGCCCCCTTCCTTCCTCTGCTCCCAGGTATATGTTCTCTGTGCTGCAGAGAGCACTGGCTGCCCCCTTGTCTGGATCCTGCTGGCTCTCCTCGATGGCAAGTGCTTCGTGTGTGTCTTCAGCAGCTCCGTGGACCCCGACAAGTTTCTAGACTTTGCCAACATGACCCCCAGCCAGGTGCAGCTCTTTCTGGCCAAGGTGCCCCGCAAGGAAGATGAGCTGGTCAGGGACAGCCCCGCTCGGAAGGCAGTGTCTCGCTACCTGCGGTGCCTGTCACAGGTAATTCGGGTGGTCCTCTCCCAGCCCTGGGAAATGTCCTGCATTGGTTCCGAGGGGCCTGGAGGTACAAATGGTTTCCTGAGGCCCCTCCCAATGCTGCAGGCACAACCATGGAGCATGTGGTCCCCGGAGGGATGAGGAGTGTGACTCACACACAGGACAGTGTTGGGCCTTAGGAAGTGGGGACTCCGCCATCAATGCTGACTCACCCCAGGGTGGATGCCAGGCGCTCATACTCTCCGGGAGTCCACTAGGCTCATCCCCAAGTTGGATGGCAGGAACACACTGGGGATAGACTGCTCTACCCTGCCACCACCCCATACACACATTCTGCTCACTCCTCAGAAATATACTAATTACCATTTATTAAGCACATATGTGTCAGGCACTGTGTTAAGCATTTCAAATGCATTACTTCATTTAATTCTCAAAACAGTCCTATGAGGTGGATGCAATCATGATCATCCCATTTTGCAGATGAGGAAACTGAGGCTCTGAGAGTTTAGTTCACAAGGCCAAAGTCACAGTTTGTAAGAGGCCGGGCAGGGATCTGAAGTGCCATTCCTCCAAACCCTGTCATCCACCTCTGTACAATGCAGGCTCCCCAGATGTCCGGCTCCTCACAGGGCACAGAATCCATTATCCTGGGGACAAACCCCAGCCCCAGCCCCAGCCCAGGCTCCAGATTCCACCTCCACCACTCCCAGAGCCCAGCCTAGGCTGTGTCCCCCAAAAAGTGTTTACATGAACCCACCACATGCAGAACATCACTGGAGCTACAACCCAGCACTTTGGAGTGCCAGGACAGGCTTGTGGCAGATTCAGGCCCGTGGAGTGGCAGAGAGAGGACCAGTGCTCAGGATACACTTGGTTCTGCTTCAGACTGTGACCTTGGCCATGCCCCTCCCCCTCTGGGCCTCAGTTTCTCCTGCAAAGTAAATGGAGGTCTGGGCTCCTCACCTTGATGTCTCCTACAGATATAAACACTGTAGGCTCTCACTAGTTCCCTGGAAAGAGTATAGAATTCTCGGTCAGACCAGGGTTTAAGTCCTGACTCAGCTGTAAATGATCAGTCACACTAAATGCCCCTCCAGGTAAAATACACAAGTATTTTAAATTTGGAGTGGGGGGAGGGAGGACCTTGTAAGAGGCCAAACGAGAGAGCTTTGTCAATCACATCTGCAAATGATAAGGATTCAAATGTGTCTTTGTGGTTTAGAGGAGTGATATCTCTGCTCCAGGTCCACACGGTTGCTCAGGTCTTAAGCGATGTCTCAATACCTTTGGCTGGGCAGAGGGGAGGGCGAGGGCCTGGCCAGGTGGGGTCTCCAGCCTCAGAGAACTGCTTCCAGCTCCTCCTCACGCTTGGCTGGGAACAGTATTCCCTGTTCACATCCTGTAAACTATTGCCATCCTTCAGGTCTCAGCCTCAACCGCACTGTCATCTGAGCCCTCAAGTGCAGTTTGGGTATCCCCACCTCTGATTTCCCACAACCCTCGATACATCCCTCAACATGGCGCTTAGCTATTCATCACCTATTTCATTGTATCTTCCACTAAAGTGTGAGCCCTGTGAGAGCAAAGACTGAGTCCTCAGTGTCTTCCCCAAAATATAGGATGGATGGATGCACAGATGGGATGGATACACATATATAAGCACGGATGAAGAACCGAATAAAAAGATGAAAGATGATGGGTGGGTGGACGGATGCATGGATGGGAGTGCAAAGGAAGCAAAACGACCTCCACCCACCTTAGGTTTTCAGCTGAGACTAACAAAAAGACAGATTAACAGGAGGAAAACAGTTTATTATTGTGTGCAGTGATCATCACGCAGGAGAAACCTAAAACCAAGAGTAACTCAAAAAAAAAAAAAGAAGGGTAACTCAAAGCAGTGGCTTAGAAGTGTGCTTATGTAGCATCTTCAGCCATGAGCAATACCATTGTAGAGAAACGTCAGCACAAGGGAAAGCAGTTTTATGCTTCCAAGGGTGGAAACTGTGGGAAGGTAAATAAATACATGGGAGGAAACTAATGGAGCAAGGTTTGTTTGCAGATTCCTCTGCTGCTGTCTCTGGGCTGATGAGAGTCTGTCTCCAGCAAAAGGGGAATTTATATCCTGCCTTCAGGCAGAAGGGGAGGTTGCTCCTTCTTAATTGTCTTCAGCTCAAAATAATTTTTATGTCAAAGAGGCAGATTTTGGGGTGACATATTCTGGTTCCCTTCAGGAGGAAAGTCGGGGGGATGAATGGCAGGTGGATGGATGGTTGGATAGATAAAAGGAAGGAAGGATGAGAGTATGGGAACATGAATGGATGGGAGGCTAGATGGCTGGATAGGAAGGAGGATGGACAGATGGAAGCATGGTTGAGAGGATGGCTGGATAGAAAGACGATAGATATACAGTCAGATAAGAGGATGGATGCCTAGATGGGTGGAGAGGTGGTTGGATAGTAAATGGATGCAAGGATGAAAGAATAAATGGGAGGAAGGACAGACGGAGGTGGTTGGTAGGATGGATGACTAAGTGGGAAGATGGATAGATTCGAAAAAGGATGCAAGGGATAAACAAAGGGAGAGACTTCGGAACATCCTTGCCACATTGTACAATATCTGTGTCCCGCCACACTCAACCTCGCGCTCCCCACCCTCCAGGCCATCGGCTGGGGTATCACCCTGCTGCTGATCGTCGTGGCCTTCCTGGCCCACTGTTTGAGGCCCTGCTTCGACCAGACAGTCCTCCTGCAGCACAGATACTGGAGCAACTACGTGGACCTGGAGCAGAAGCTCTTCGATGAGACATGCTGTGAGCACGCGCGGGACTTCGCGCACCGCTGCGTGCTGCACGTCGCCAGCAAGCAGAGCGAGACGCGGGTGCGGGGGCTGCGCCGGGACCCCGCGGGCAGGGGTCCAGAGACTCCTGAGATGCCCGAGCCCCGCGAGGGCCTGGACGGTGGAAGCGGGAAAGCCCACCTGCGCGCAGTCTCCAGTCAGGAGCGGGTGGACCGCCTCCTGAGCACCTGGTACTCCAGCAAACCACCACTTGACCTCACGGCATCTCCTGGACTCTGGGGGGGGGCGGCCCCAGGCACCAGGCCACCCCAGCACACCGACGTGTAAGGACCCTGGCTGTGTCGCCACATAAAATGCCCGCTCTGACAAGGGTCTGAGGGCTTTCCAGGCTATGGGGAGCCCAAGGCAAGGCAACCTAACCCCTCTTGGCCTCCTTCCCCAAAATAGCCCAATCTCTGGCCGAGTTTCTGGGTGTGGCCCCCTGTGTGCTCTAAAGCTGTGCTTCGCAAGCTTCAGCGTGCTTACTGTTCACCTGGGCTCTTGTTAAATGCAGATTCTGATTCAGTCCTTCCAGGACTGGGGCTAAGACTGCATTTCTAACAAGCTCCCAGGTGATACTGACGCTTCTGGTCAGTGAACCAAATTTTGAGTAGCAAGAGTCTAAATAGATCTGCCATGGGTTCTGGGTCCTAGATGTCCAGATTCTACATTTAAAATAATAATGACGACAATAGCACATGCTTGTATGGTGCTTAGTATGTGCCAGTCATTATTCTAAATTCTTTCCATATACAATTCATTTAATCTTTATGATAATCTAATGAAGTAGGATGATTATTAGTCCCATTTTTTCGAGGAGAAAATTGAGGCATAAAAGGTTAAGCTGCCTGAGGTAACCCATGTAAGAGCTGGAACTTTATCCCAGGACGTCGGCTCTAGATCTGCTCTGAGTTACTACATTAATCTCCCCTCTAGACTGTTGGTGTGTGTGTTTGTTTTCAGTGCTCTAGTTGGGTTTCCTGCAGCCTCCAGCAAGGTTCTCTGAGCGAGCTTGCTGAGTTCCTCTTAAAAGTACTAATTAGTGCCTCTTGCTGACTACTGCAGATGAATAGTTTTATATATTCCTGGCAAGGGGATTTTTCTGTTTTTGAATGTCAAGGGGGCTGACCCTTCCAGCTCCCATCTTCCCAAGTCCCAGCAATTCTATTCCTAGCCCACCAAGGCTGAGCAGCCCTTCAAGATGCAGTTGCATTGTCAGCCCAGGCTTCTGCTCACCTCCAGCTAGCAGATGCTTCCTCCCTCACCCCTCTACTCACCACCCTCCCCACCACCTGCAGCCTGACCCCTGAGCTTAGCCTCTCTTTCTAAGGCTGCCTCATTCACCAGGCATTCCAGGGGTATCTACCCACTGCCCTCAGCAAGAAGCTGGCATCCTGGTAAGGATTTCCCCAGGGATAGTGTATGGACCAGATCTGCAAATCAGGGTGCAAATTAGGTATCTAGGCAGCCCTAGACATCTCCACCCTGAACAGGAACCCCAGGTGGCTCTGCAGATTCCAGTGTTTAAGAACCTCTGGACCGGGCTTCCCTGGTGGCGCAGTGGTTGAGAGTCCGCCTGCCGATGCAGGGGACATGGGTTCGTGCCCTGGTCCAGGAGGATCCCACATGCTGCGGAGAAGCTGGGCCCGTGGGCCATGGCCGCTGAGCCTGCGCGTCCGGAGCCTGTGCTCCGCAACGGGAGAGGCCACAAAAGTGAGAGGCCCGTGTACCGAAAAAAAAAATAGAACCTCTGGGCCAAGTGTGGGTGTGGGGTCTGACTCAGGGATGAAGACCCTTGAAACACCAGGGTTAAATCTTGCTGGAAGAACTGCCCCTCAAGCTATAGCAGCCCAAACCGGAAGTGTTGGGGGAGATCTAGCCTGTGAGCTCCTCTGGGTCTCTGCCCCTCCCTGATGACTCACTCACCACACACACACACACACACACACACACACACACACACACACACACACACACACACACACACACACATCCTGTTATTGTGCTTGGTGGCCACAGACATGCACAGACTTGGGTTCACCCCACGCTTTTCTGGTCCTCAGGGCATGGGGGCAGCACAGGGGCCCCTGGATGCCCTCCTGGAGCCCAGCCCCCTCCATATCAGGCAATCTCTGTTCTCCTGGGTGCTTGCCAAGGGACCTTGTAGGATGGACAATCCCTGCAGCTCAGCATTTCCCCTCCCACCCTGCTGTGGTCAGGCCATACAAATGTCTGAAATAGTACTGGGGTGGGGAAAGATTTAGGCAAAGTGTTAGCAGGGATTGGGGGAAGGGGGGGAAGGGAGGAGGGAGACCTTGGACATGGTCCAGTCAGCAGGGGTGAACTCCAGCTCAAGGAAAGGAGGCTCAGGGCCCCTACCTTGGGCTGCAAGGAAGCAGCTTCTGGACCACTGACTGCAATCTATACTCTTGCCTTCTTATACTGAGCATTTATAGGTGCCTACTGCATAGAAAGCACTATGCCAGGGAGTAGGGAAGAGAGGATACACAGATGATATGCCCTGCCGTCAAGGAACTCGCTGTCTACTAGAGGGACAGAGATGGGTACAGACATCATTATAGGGACTTCCTTGGTGGCACCGTGGTCAAGAATCTGCCTGCCAATGCAGGGGACATGGGTTCGAGCCCTGGTCCAGGAAGATCCCACATGCCGCAGAGCAACGAAGCCCGTGTGCCACTACTGAGCCTGTGCTCTAGAGCCCACGAGCCACAACTACTGAGCCCTCATGCCACAACTACTGAAGCCCAGGCGCCTAGAGCCCGTGCTCTGCAACAAGAGAAGCCACCTTAATGAGAGACCTACGCACCACAACGAAGAGTAGCCCCCGCTCTCCGCAACTAAAAAGAAAGCCGGCACACAGCAACAAAGACCCAACGCAGCCCAAAATTAATTAATTAATTAAAAAATAACTGTAATCAAAATTCTAGTGATGATGAGAATAATGGGTTTAGAATCCAATCAAGCTGTTTTATTCCACGTATTTTAAAATAACACTGAATTTAGAATTTGCAGAGAGTGTATATGTGGTTAGAGCAGACACCTGAAGCCAATTTGGGCACCACGAAAAGGGCACGTCAGCTACAAACAGGGAGCCGTGTCCACTATAGATGGAAGACAGAGATTCCAGACAGCCTTTTGGAGCCACACTCCTCCTGGACTCCTGGCCTCATTTTCTGGGTCTCTCTCATCCTGCTCTCCACCTGTGGCTGTGCCCCTTGGGAGCCCCCAACAGGGTCCTCCAGGGGCCACCAGCCTGGGTGCTCCAGTTACCCAAGGCCCAGGTTGAGGGCTAAGGGGAGCAATATCCTTCCCCACCTGTATCCTGCTTGTGACACGCTAGCATTTCTACCCAGACTCGTAGAGCAGGAGAACATCATTCGGCTGGAGGAGAAAGGCAAAAAACCAAAAACAAAACACACTTCCCTGCCTCCTCCTCCACCCACCCCCCTACCGCCCACTCCCACCTGGTCTGGGTTCAAATCCCACTCTTTCACCTACAAGTTGTGTAAGTTTTAGCTGGTGCTGGGGAGGAAGAAAACTTTCCTCTACCCTTCTAGGTTCTTCTGGCTTGTTTAAGAATTAAATTGAAACAAGGCAGATGAACAGGAGGAAATCAAATTTAATTTCGTACGTATGGGAGTCTCACATACACGAGAGTGTCAGAGACAGAAAGGTAAAATGAGGTACTTACGCCATCCTGAGCTAAGGAGTAGGATAGGGGCCTGGGGCTTCCAAGGGCAGGAGGCTCATTCACAGGACGATAAGTGTTACCAAAGCAGGTCTGTTTACCCAACACACAGCAAACCAAACTCTGAGATGCCAAGATTTGCAGCAGAGGAAGTTTGTTCACAGGAAGGCAATTGAGGAGATGGGAGAACAAGCCTCAGAACCGCCTCCGCCAAGGCGAGGGGGTTGGGATAGCTATGGAACAAGCAGGTGGGCTTGGCACGGGGAAAGGTGATTGGAGGCAGGAAAAACGTGAGGTAACTGGTGCTCTGCACAGGTGTATCTGGGTTACATGCTTCCACATATTCAAATATACAGGCACTTAATGTGATCTGAGGGTAAAGTTTTCCAGTCCTCTGACTTCAAAAGGCCATTCATCGGGCTTCCCTGGTGGCGCAGTGGTTGAGAGTCCGCCTGCCGATGCAGGGGAGGCGGG